CCTGATGAACTATGCCATATTAAATAAATACTTTCAATTTAAGAATTTCTGCTAACAAGCTCTTCTGAATTGAGACAGAGGCACCTAGTTATATTTGATGGTATAAACAACTTACTCGTGTGTGCATGTGTGTGTGTGTATGGGCAGGCACATCTATGTGTTCCTTTAATGATACTTTTTTGAGGTGACTTTGAGTAATAAGTAATGCATGTGTTAAACATGTTTGCTAATCAAATTAGTTTCTGTGTTGCTCTGAAATATGGTATTTTACACATATCCAGGTGTTGTAGCAAATCCAAAATGCCTATTTGAAAAAAGCATTGGTTTTACCTCTGGACAACCTTGGGATTTATTCGTGTATGAAGTCAAAGTCATTATAAGCAATGCCACAGTTTGGTCTTTCTTGAAAGGATATCAACAATAAGATCTGATCCTTTTAAATATTAAATATAACAGTTGTTGAGGCTAATATCCATTAAGCCACTCACTCCTTCCTCATTAATTTCTACAGAAAGAAATTTTTTTAAACTTGAAGGTAGGGAAATTTTTTTTTTTCTCTTAGTAAGTGGAGTTTCCAATAATGGTAACTCTGCAAATCAATGCTTTCTATGTTTGTTTTGGGGCTTCCTTGGTGGTTCATTAGTAAAGAATCCACCTGTCAATGCATGAGGCACAGGTTTGACCCCTGATCCAGGAAGATCCCTTGGAGAAAGAAATGGCAACCCACTCCAGTATTCTTGCCTGGAAATCCCCATGGACAGAGGAGCCTGGAGTGCTATAGTCCTTGGGGTCTTAAAGAGTCAGACATGACTTAGCAACTGAACAATACAATATATATGTTCTTGCTGCAAAGAAATATATGTTAAATCTGAATCTCAATTATAATGGTTCAGTTGACTATTGTGCTTGGCACTTGCACATTTTCCTCTTCCCATAACACAGACTTCTATATTATTTATAGTACTTTGTTTTACTGTGAACTCTCTCAAAGCCTTCTAGAAAGAGCAGGAGCACAAATATATTTATATATGTTTACACACTTACATATAATGGCTTGAATTGGCCCCAATGTTATCATATTACTATTCCCATATCTAGAATCATCAAGACAGAGTTAATTAAACTTTAATTAGTTTCCATGTGGAAAGGAAATCTTGGAAATTGTCTTTTCATTTACATTAGAAACATACATTGCCTGAGAACCACAAGTTTTCATTATATTTTATAAATGGGGAGCCATGCATCTATGAAAATAATGTTTTAATTTCATAATGGATTAGATATTAGATCTATTCCTTTCTAATCTATTTATAAATACTGATTCATCTCTTAACTGATTTGGATGAATTCCAAACTATTATATCAATTATAAAAATAGAATTCAAGAGTATCAAACAAAACTTCTATAAGTAGTTACTAGATCTTTTTAATCATGTCCACTGGGAGGTGAAATTCTACTCTAGCTAGGATAGATTAAAAGTCAATTTCATTAAATTTTCAACAAAATGCCAACTTTCTCACCTTAAATTCTGGCAAGTAAAGGCTACGGGTCTGCTTTAATTAAAGTCAGAATGGCTTCTCAGCAGACATTTGCCAGGAACCTCAATGTGATGTCCAGCTTCCATCACAAGCAGAGTTGACATAACTGACACCCAGGAGACAAAAATTCTAGAGGTATGCTTCCTCTCCATTTGTCCTGGATTTCAAAACCCAATCCTTATACTGAATTAATTCACAAAAAATCAGTGTACTATGACATAAAATTATCTTATCAGAGAAAACTTTACTCTTTTATACTCTTTGATCACACAAATATTTTAAGCAGAAACAATGTACAGTAACATCAGGGGACATGCATGCTTTGAGGTGCTTTCCTCAAAAGTTTTGAAGGCCCTTCTTGTGCTCAGGGCTATTTATGGAGCAATGCCATCTAAGTGGAGGTACCCCGGACTAGGTTGAAACTTGTTGGGCTCCAGTAGACAGTTCTCCCCTTTATGGCTCTGACCTTCTACTCAATTTTAGGGTTCACCAGGTACCCTATGGACCTCAGAACTAGCATCTGTGGAGTTTTCCCGGATCCACAAGACCAGACTCTGATTCCTAGTAGCCAGCCTGACACGGAGATTGCTCCTGCTAAATGGTACTGTATGTTTTTTGCAAGGTCACTAAAATTTGGACTGTGAGAACGGTACTCAAAGGTTGATTTGATGTGAGTCATACTTTATATATAGATAGGCACCCCACAGAAAATATTTGCTAGGGCCCCATATCAGTTCAGTTCAGTCACTCAGTCATGTCTGACTCTTTGTGACCCCATGAACTGCAGCATGCTAGGCCTCCCTGTCCATCACCAACCCCCAAAGTTTACCCAAACTCATGTCCATTGAGTCAGTGATGCCATCCAATCATCTCATCCTCTATTTTCCCCTTGTCTTCCTGCCTTCAATCTTTCCCAGCATCAGGGTCTTTTCAAATGAGTCAGTTCTTTGCATCAGGTGGCCAAAGTATTGGCCAATGTATTGGAGTTTCAGTTTCAATATCAGTCCTTCCAATGAACACTCAGGACTGATCTCCTTTAGGATGGACGGCTTGGATCTCCTTGCAGTCCCAGGGACTCTCAAGAGTCTTCTCTAACACCACAGTTCAAAAGCATCATAGGGTCCCATACACCCTAGTGCCTTTGTGAAGGACAAATCTGATCCATATTAGATCTATTTCTTTTATTTTAATCTTTGTGCTTTGTTGCTTATACTTAATCATACTGGCTCTGCACCATTTGCAAAAGAATGTTGCTTATAGCCTGAAATATACACCATAGCGCATTCTCAAGACCTTGGCCTTTAGGAGTCCATTTATATAGAGATAAAAATAACATTTTTATCTCTAAAGAGAATAACATTTGTCTTGGAGATTTACAGGAACCTCTTCACCTTACCTATGTGGACACCTGCAAGGACAAAGGATTCCTACCCAAGAAGTTTACAACTAACCACACCCTGCCTTCCCTCACCTTGCCTTTCAAAGTGCTTTGCTGAAACTTTCAGGAGTTCAAATTTCTCTGGGAACAAGCCATCTGTCTCCTTGCATGGCCCTGCAATAAAACTTTCCCTGCTGCAAATGTTAACATTTTAGTTTGTTCAGCCTCACTGTGCATCACTCACAGTGTTTGATAACAGGAGGGCAACCTGACTATGTGTTGTTCATTTTCAACAAAGTTTCTAGTTAAAGACCTTCTGCATTATATTACTCAATATTTTTAAAATACATTTTCAAAAAGTTAATTCTAAAAGCCTAGGGCAAAGAATTTAGCTTTTAAATAAATTTGTTTCATTTAAGTCAGCATTAGAATCATAAGACTCACCATGTCTCTCATTAGTTTAGATTTTCACAAATCGCTAGGGACTTTAATATTTCAGAGATATAATCTATTATATCAGTTCCCTAATACTTTTTTGAGTATGGTTTTCTATTTCTGCTTTAGATTTATTTTAAACTCTCTTCAAGCATAAAAATTTTTTTTATTAAAACCATAGCAAAATCTTTTAGAAAAACAAACAAACAAACCTGGAATTAGCAAAATGAAAATAAATAAAATATGCATTTTCCTGAAAAAACTCTGGTGTCATTGATAAGGTCTATGATAGATATGGCTCCAAAGTTGATGAAAGAATAATAGCAGTAAAGCATAAATCTGTTGAAACACATAGTTGACATTTTGCGGAAAAAAAAATTCTTAAACTATGAGATTAAAATTTTCATATTGTGTTGAGATTAATGTGTATTTATTTGGGTTCCAACATTTATTACTTTGGCCATAAACACCTTTATAAATACCTTACAAAACCTATAATAAAGAGCGCCTCCTGGTGGACCAGTGATTGAGAATCCAAAACAGACAATGCAGGGAACTCTGGTTTGATCCCTGGTCCAGAAAGATCCCACATGAAACAAAGCAATTAAGCCCATGTACCTGCAATTACTGCATTACCCACGTGCCCTAGAATCCATGATCCACAACAAGAGCAGCCACAGCAATTAGAAGCCCGTGACCATAGCTATAGACTAGTCCCCACTTGCCGCAACCAAAGCCTACATGCTGCAGTGAAGACCCAGCACATTCAAAAATACATAAATAAATAAATAACCTATAATAAGGGAATTACTTTAAAGAATAAGCAAACCAAATCAAATACAGATCTTCCTCAACTTAGACCAGAGCTACATTTTCAATGGAAAACATTGTTAAGTTGAAACGCATTTAATACACCTACCCTACTGAGTATCATTACTTAGTCTGACAGACTTCAACATTCTCAAAACACTTACATTAACCAACAGTCAGGAAATCATCTAGCACAAAGCCTATTTTATAATTGAGTGTTGACTATCTCATGTAGTTTATTAAATACTGTAGTAAAAGTGAAAAACAGATTGGCTGTGTAGGTATGGGATGCATATTGCTTTTGCAACATTGTAAAGTTAAAAAATCTTAAGTCAAACCACTGTAAATCTGGGACCATCTGTACACCAGAACCATAATGTAAATGATCTGCCCTATTTTTTAAGGGGAGGGAAATGCAGATATTCTGCTCATTCAAAGATATGAACAATTTAGAATACTTATATCTCCTGATTTTTTCCTGTGTTTCTTGCTGGTAAACAATTCCAGAATGGATATGGCCAATAATGTACTATAGTAACACTTTCAGTTACATTTACACATATTAACTTCATGACTTTGGTGAATAATGTCAAAAATGGCAATATAATATATACGAACTTCATTAAAATAACCAAGGAGAATCGAAGCAAAGAGGGATGAAATGATATTCCAAAGCTTACCCGGGTCATTGAGTCAGGAAGAGAAACCAGGTCTCTTGATTTCAATTCCAGTGTTCTACTCACTGGTTTGTTCAACTCCTGTGCAAAACACCCATACACAATAACAACGCACAAGCCCCCTTGCTATTAAGTTGTTGGCAAAAGAAACACATCATTACCTTTCCCACATACTGAGGCTCAGAGCCCATGTACTCCTCCAGCACAAAAAATTGATTCCATACCCAGCCACGTTTAACTCGGTGGACATGTGATCGTTGTCCTGGTAGGTGGATAACATTCTCTCTTGGTTCTGTGGCTAAAGTGTGTTGTGGCTGAGGTTGAAGTGGTGTTAGGAGACCTCCATCAAACAGGACCCAGAGCAGCAGGGATAAACAGTTCCTTGTAAGCATTGGCAAAAGCTTTCCTACAGCAGAGTAATCAAAACTCCAACACTTAATGTAGAATTGTGGAATCCAGGTTTGAGGTGTCTGTGGCCTCCACCACTTAGCTTTCTGTTTTATTGCAGAGATGATAATGCAGGCATTAATCCTTTTGATGAAAATGCTTCTGCTATATTATATTCCATCTAAAGGGACCTATAAAACAGATTAACAAAGATACATTAAATTGATAGAATTACATGATGATAGTCATCAAAACTCTCTTTATATATCTGCCAACATTGAAGGAAACAGAGAGAAAAGTCTTTAAAAGAATTATATTAGTAAATGATCACTGCTATTTAACTTATTAACTTCAATAAAATATCTAAGTGTTTTTCACTGACTTGAAAAAGTATGAATCACAATAAAGCAAGAGTTTATCATAAATAGAAGCAATCATTTTTTAAATTTAATAACTGTTTAAGAGTAAAGCAGAGATCACTATTTTTTTTTTTACTGAAGTATAGTTAATTTGCAATGTTTCAGGTGTACAACAAAACAATTCAGTTAGACATATATATACATTCTTTTATATATTTTTTCTATTATAGGTTATTCTAAGAAATTGAATATAGTTCACTGTGTTATATAGTAGGTCCTTATTGTATGTTCATTTTATATACAGTATAGTTTATTTTTTAAATTTAACCTCAAATTGATAATTCATCTCCCCCCACCGCATCCCCCTCTGGTAACCATGTTTGTTTTCTATGTCCATGAATCTATTTCTGTTTTGTAAATAAGTTCATTTGTATCACTTTTTCTAGATTCTCTATATAAGGGATATTATATGACATTTGTCTTTCTCTCTCTGACTTACTTCACTTAGTATAGCTCTCCTTTATTGCTGTTTAATCTCTAGGTCATGCCCAACCCTTTTGTGACCTCATGGACTGTAGCCTGCCAGGCTCCTCTGTTTATGGATTTTCCCGGGAAAGATATTGGAGTGGGTTGCCATTTCCTTCTCCAGGGGATCTTCCAGACCCATGGATTGAACTCATGTCTCCTGCATTGCAGGCAGATTATTATCCTTGAACACACTAGGGATATGTATGATGATTGCATTATTGCTGCAAATGACAGTATCTCATTCTTTTTTATGGCTGAATAATATTTCATTGCATAGATAGATAGATAGATAGATGTAGATATGTATATCTACATATATCACATCTTCTTTATTCATTCATGTCAATGGACACTTAGGTTGCTTCCACATCTTGGTTCTTGTAATTAGTGCTGCTACAGATATTGGGAAGTATACATCTTTTTGAATTAGAATTCTTTACTGGGATTATGCTTTTTAAGGTGAACTGAGAGTAGGATTTCATAGCCTTAGGACAACTGACATCTGGGGTTGGATAACTTTTTGTTGCTGGGGGGCCAGCATGTACATTTTATGAATCCTAGAAATGCCCCCTTTCCTTCACTCAGGAGATGACAATGGCATCCTCCTCCACTGCTAGTTGTGATAACCAAAAAATATCTCCAGCCATTGCCAAATATCCCCTGGAAGGAGCAGAATAGATCAAGACTGAGAAGCACAGATTTAGAGAATAAAGAAAAAACAAAGCAGTTTTAAAGAAACAAAAAATTATCTGAGGTTAGAGAATAGGAAGTATAGGACCATGCATGAAAAAACATTCACTGGAAAGATTAACACTGAAGATGAAGCTCCAAAACTTTGGCTACCTGATGAGAAGAGCTGACTCATTGGAAAAGACCTTGATGCTGGGAAAGATTAAAGGCAAAAGGAGAAGAGGAGGGCAGAAAATGAGATGGTTGGATGGCATCACTTACTCAATGGACATGAATTTGAGTGAACTCTCGGAGATAGCGGAGGACAGAGGAAACTGGCGGGCTATAGTTAATGAGGTTGCAAAGAATCAGACAGGACTTAATGATTAAACAACAACAACAATGGAAGAATAACATAAATTTACTAAACGAAAATGATCTAAGATGTATGCTATTGAGAAAAACGTCAGATGGTTTTGTAAGACTTTATAAGCTTTAATGTTTAAAAAAAATGCTGCTCTAGTCTTGGCATACTAGAAACACTGGGATACAGAGGAATTATTTCATAGATAGTGTGTGACTCAGAGCAATCTTGAATCACTATCAGATGGATAATCTCTGCTTTGCATTTAGGTAAAACTGAGCTTTGAACATTTTCCTTACAACAAACACTTTTTTCATTCACTAATCTAAGGTTTGAGTGTCTAAGATGTACTAGGTTCTTTGTAATACAGTAGGTAAGGAAACAGACATGATTCTTATCTTTCCTAAATCAGGAATGGAAAATAACTATAGTCAAATACATAAATGAGGGCAAATTTACCAATGCTGTGGAGAAAGAAAAGTAAATAGAATATCCTGATGGCAAACTTTAAGTGGTCAGAACTTAAATTAGACAAAGTCTGCCATCGGTGACAGTTTCAATGAGAATTAAAAACAAGAGCAACTTTATATTCTTCAAGCAGCAAGGGAAAAATGTGGCTTTAGCCAGGGAAGCTTCACACATTGGCACTAGGGGACAATTGCCCGCAGCCTTCTCAGAGGTTTCCAAAGATCAAGAATATCAGAGGTCAGAAATTATATACAATGCTTCCAAAACAAGACAACTAATATAAAAATCAACTTATGTTTAATCACATGCCTATAACACAGGGCATTTTGTCAATCTTTCAGTTGCAGTTTGGTTTAGTGATTATTCAGCTATATATAATATAAAGTATAATGCATTCTTTACATATATTCAAATGTAAAAAATGTGGGAGCAATTCATTGAAGATAAGATGTGAAATGAGAAGGGTCTAAAAGTTATACTGAGAGCATCCTACAATGACACTCTCAAAAGGAGAAATAAAGTGGGATCTATTTTTTTTTCCTCTGGCCTGAAGGGATGCACCTGTTAACTACTAACAAAAACATGAACTGTATATATTTTATTGCATCCTTTCATTCTGGCAAAATAATGTTCATAAAAAGTTAACTTAGACTTATACTGTCCAATATGGGAACCACTAGCCATATGTGGCTGTGGAGTTGAAATTTGGCAATTTGATATTGAGATGTCCTCTAACTTTTCACTTATATACCACATTTCAAAAAATTACTACAAAAATAAGAACGTAAAAGATCTCATTATTGATTTCAACATTTATTTTTTGTTGACATGCTAATAGTTTGGGTAAAGAAGGTTTGTTGTTGACTCGATAAGTTATGTCTGACTCCTTGTGATCCCATGGACTGCAGCATGCCAGGCTTCCCTGTCTTTCATCATCTCCCAGAGTATGCTCAAACTTATGTCCATTGAGTGGGTGATGCCATCCAATTATCTCTTTGTCTATTTACCTCTTTTCTCCTGCCCTCAATCAGAAGGTTAAATAAATACAAACTATTACATTAATTTGACCTACTTGTTTTCCTTTTTTAATGTGATTACTAGAAAATTACAATTATAGATCCAGCTTGCATATGTGACTTGCATTGTTTTCTACCATGCAGTTAGCACTGACTTAAATAAGAGTTTAAATCACAACTATGATTTCTACTTAAGTCATATATATTTTAATATTCAGAATAGAATATCCAGCACAAACTGTATCATGTTTGTATGACAATACATTGGGATGTCAGAGGATATTTGCAACTATATGCATTAAGCCTGTGTAAAAATAACGCACATGTTTTCCTCAGCTGTTTTCAAGTTTAAATTACTAACACTGACATCTAAAGTGTTTGAATTCTTGAACTTTCTGTTTTGCCCATGTTTCTTCTCCTACTCATGTCAATCCTACTCCCAGCATTTACAGAACAAATGGGGAGATAAACATAAGTAGAAAAGATGGATGGAAGGAACTCTAACTTTCCAAACCTAGTCTATTACATGTAATTAGGCTGTCTTTTTGCCTTTGTGTTTCATTGATTTTTTTTTTCTTCTCCACTTTTTTTGGGGAGGTGTGAGGTATAAAAATTCAAACTTTAGCAAGTATTGACTCCTAAAGTTATCTCTTTAAACAAGCATCTTTTTATTTTACATCCTACATGTTTTATATTGGACAGGTAGCTATATTCCATCATTAGCATCATCAGTATAGGTCCAGCTACCCATTACCCTTGATAGTTGAGGATCCGAAATCTGAGTTTGGACCTCCTTTTAGAGGAGTCTTTCAGAAACTTTAACTAGCTCATGGCTTCCCTCTTTGCTACCCAATAATCCCTGCTTATTTGAGGGGATTAGCTCATAAGTTATTAACAATTGAAGAAGAATATGAAAGTAACATAGAAAGAACATTTTCATAAGCTAATTCCACAACACCTTAAAGATAGATTAACATCGCCAGAAACAGCCCCTAAATGCAAAACATTGTCATGAGGCTGAAGTTAAATGGAGCCACATCGTGGTACAATATTCCCCCATTTCCCTCACCTGGTGCCCACATCTTGTTCTATCCTTTGATTCTCTCTGGACACACATTCTACTCAGCCCGTTGTATTCTTGTACTTTTTTCATGCATTCTCCTTTATTTCCCTCTTTCTCTAAGTAGACTGTTTCTTACTCACATCTTTGCCATCAAATTACTTTCTCCTTTTTTGTTATGTTTTTATATTCAGAGGAAATTTATTTATGAATAGTTTTGCTGTTATTTTCATTAGGATGGTAATGGTTAGGGGTGACCATACAGGTCTGAGAGATATGCACATAATCTTATCCTTTGCCATGAATGTTGCTGTTTTAATATGAATTCTGCAGAAGGCAAAGCTTTTTAGGAACTCAAATACCACACTGGAGTAGAAAGATCTATAATTAACTTTGTAAAGTCTTCTCTTTGCACACTGGGATGCAACATATAGACGGATGATTATACTTAACGCTGTAGTGTATATCTGGAAGCTGCTAAGAGAGTAGATCTCAAAAGCCAGGCCTTTTATGATATTCATGAGCTTAACAGTTCATGAGCTGCACAATCTTCCTCAGCATCACTCTAGACCGTAGCCATTCTCTCCTTCTCTCAAAACCTTTATTGATAAATGATAGCAAAAACATAATAATTTGTATTATAGGTGTATTTGTATGATTATTCTTCCAGCTTTCTGAGTAGAGTGACGAAGGGCTAAGAGAGTAGCAATGATGACTCTATTGTCAG